TGATTTCCCTCCTACTGCAGGCCTTGTTATTGACCCAGAATTCTCAGTAACCAGGGCAAACACCTACTGGCTCTCTGGAAATCACAGGGCTCCCAGCAAGACTGGGGCAAGGAGATCTGCCCCAGGGATCTGTTCCGCACTCTTCTCCCCAGAAAAGGCTGCTCTGTCAAATCAGGGCATGCTGTCCCAGCTCGCAAGCTTGATTTCCCTCCTACTGCAGGCCTTGTTATTGACCCAGAATTCTCAGTAACCAGGGCAAACACCTACTGGCTCTCTGGAAATCACAGGGCTCCCAGCAAGACTGGGGCAAGGAGATCTGCCCCAGGGATCTGTTCCGCACTCTTCTCCCCAGAAAAGGCTGCTCTGTCAAATCAGGGCATGCTGTCCCAGCTCGCAAGCTGCCTCGCTGATGTCTGAGTGCCCCCTCCCCCACACACTTGGAAGATGGGCTGCTTTCTCTGCCCACCTTGGGGATACCATCCTGGTTTAGGGCTGATATTCCTGTTCTGAAGCTCTGAATGCCAGATCCCACTCTGTGGGCACTCTTCCCACTGGGCTACTTCTATGCAGACTGGATTCACAGAACAGGACAGTGCCCGTTCTGTGCCCATCCCAGAGCAGCGCATCGTGCACAGGATGGGAGCATGCTGTGCCCAGTGGTTTCCATACAGACACTAGCAGCATTTTCCTCTGGCTGCCCTAAATGCCTTGGGCCCTGAGAGGACAGAGAGAACTTGTATGTACAGATGTGAAGGACTAGTCGACTATCCCATAAACAAATGCTTATCAGATAGTCGACAGGATAGTTGACTAGTTGCACACACACCCCTTGCTGCCTCTATCAGAAAGTGGCAGCAAGGGGGGAAGAGGACGGGGTACTTCAAAGTAGCAGCATCGCTTGAAGCCTGGGGCCAGACCCGGGGCTCCATGCAGTGCTGCAGCTTTGAAATGCCGTGTGCAGCCTGGGGCCAGCTGGGGTGTCCCCAGGCTGCACACAGTGTTTCAAAGCAGCAGCGCCACATGGAGCCTGGGATCAGCTAGGGAGTCCCAGCTGACCCTGGGCTCCACATGGCACCGGGGAGCACTGCATCAGACTGCATGCGGTGTTTCAAAGCAGCAGTGGCACGTGGAGCCTAGGATCAGTTGGAGTCCCCAGCTGATCCCGGGCTTCGGTGGTCTCACATTGAAGTATAGCTGCAGCACCCCCCCCCCTCCACACACACACACTTTGCTTCAGATGATTGCTGATTTGGGATGGTTTTAAACCACTCTGGGTATGTCTACACTAGAAAGTTAGTTCGAACTAACGGACGTTAGTTCGAACTAACTTTCCTATGCGCTACACTAGCGCTCCGCTAGTTCGAATTTGAATCGAACTAGCGGAGCGCTTAGTTCGAACTAGGTAAACCTCATTTTACGAGGACTAACGCCTAGTTCGAACTAGCTAGTTCGAACTAAGGGCTGTGTAGCCCTTTAGTTCGAACTAGGGGGAGGCTAAGCCTCCCCAGGTTTCCCTGGTGGCCACTCTGGCCAACACCAGGGAAACTCTATGCCCCCCTCCCGGCCCCGGACCCCTTAAAGGGGCACGGGCTGGCTACGGTGCCCGTGCCAGGTGCAAGCCTGCCAGCACCCAGCTAGCAGACCCTGCACCTGGCACGGCACAGAGCCACCCACCCGATGCCCCCAGGCTGGCGGCTCCCGGGAGCTTGCCCAGGACCGCAAGAAGTGGGCACCTTCCTGGGCTAGTGCAGACATAATGGACCTTGTCCACGATCTCTGCACTAGGCACAGGAAAGTGGCCGTCTAGGGCAGGAGAGCTGCCAGCCTGGCCACCCAGGACCAGGTGTGCATGAAAATCAAGGGGGTCCACTGAGACCCCCGACCCTGAGCCCTGAGCTTACAATGGCCGTACTGGGTCAGACCAAAGGTCCATCTAGCCCAGTAGCCTGTCTGCCAACAGCGGCCAACCCTAGGGACCCTGGAGGGGATGGACCGAAGACAGTGATCAAGCCATTTGTCTCGTGCCATCCCTCTCCAGCCTTCCACAAACTTTGGGCAGGGACACCACTCCTACCCTCTGGCTAATAGGACTCCATGGACCCAACCTCCATGACTTGATCTCACTTCCCTTTAAACTCTGTTCTAGTTGTAGCCTTCACAGCCTCCTGCAGCAAGGAGTTCCACAGGTTAACTATTTGCTTTGTCAAGAACAACTTTCTCTTACTAGTTTCAAGCCTGCTACCCATTCCTTTCCTTTGGTGTCCTCTAGTCCTTCTTTATGGGAACTCAGGAAGAACTTTTCTGAATGCACCCTCTCCACCCAACCCCTGCTTTTAGAGACCTCTATCCTGTCCCCCCTCCGTCTCCTCTTTTCTAAGCTGAACAGTCCCAGTCTCTGTAGCCTCTCTTCATCTGGGACCTGTTCCCAACCCCTGATCATGTTAGTTGCCCTCCCCTCTCCCAGCCTTTCTCTTCCCCTCTCCCACCTCCTTTTCCCAGTCTCCCCCAGTTTTTTTCAATAAAGACAGAGTCAATGTTGGAAGAAACGTTATCTTTATTTTGTACATCAATAAGAAGGGGGGCTAGGGAAGGGTAAGTGGAAGGAGGTGAGGGAGGAATGGGGTACGAGCCCCCGATGGGGAGGACTGGGCTGGCTCTGCGGGCTTCTGGGGGTGGAAGCTCTCCTGCAGCCCCCCAATTACTCCCTCTCCCCAGATGGCAGCCTGCGGCAAGTGCAGCCGGGCTGATGGCCGAGTGGTGTGATGTGCCCAGTGTGGGCACTCAGGGCACTCCAAGCCAGAACTTCTTTGCAAGCGGGGCACCCCTTAGAACTGTGTGTCCGGGGTGGGGGTCGGGACCCTTTAAGCGCAGCCCTCGGCTAGCCTGAGACAGTATCTCCATGCTCTAAGTCCTCCTTTTATGCCCTGCCGGCACTGCTTCCGGCCATCCTTAAGCCCTGTTCAGAGTCCACTCAATGTGGACTTACTAGTTCGAACTAGCAAAACGCTAGTTCGAACTAGTTTTTAGTTCTAGATGCGTTAGTTCGAACTAGCTTAGTTCGAATTAACTAATTCGAACTAAGTTAGTTCGAACTAGCGCTGTAGTGTAGACGTACCCTCTGTTTGGCTTGGTTCAGAGACAGAGAGGAGATTAATGAGAAATTCCAGGTCTTCAGTATTGTCCTTGGAACTGCTATATGAGGGCATTTAAAATGCCACTACTAGGCACCAATGTATTAGTGCTTAGTATTAAAAGTGAAGTGGTTCATTGTTGTTCCACAGGTATTGTATTCGGGGCTGAGGGGCACTGGCAGAGCTGTGTGTGGGGAACCCAGGGCTGGGATAGCAGGAGGCTGCAGGGCAGGGGGAGGGGCACTGGCAGAGCTGTGTGTGGGGAGCCCAGGGCTGGGATAGCAGCAGGGGGGCACTGCAGGGCAGAGGTGAAGGGCTTGGAGAGAACTGTGTGTGATCAGGACTAGAATAACCAGGGATGTAACTCATCACAGTTGGAGTCTATGTGCTGTGTAAGTTGAAGGAGAAGTGGGAAGTTCTCACCAGGTCCCATATTCAAACTTGATGGGATGGCCTCTCTCCTGGAAATCTGTCCCTGCTGTAACCTACTTTACAGAATGTTTTCCATCAGCCACCATGATTCAGGGAAGAGGTAGTGAGTAGGGCCCCTTCGCTGCCCTAACGAAGGGTTGTACTTGATATATGGTGGTGCTGCTCCTGCATCTCAGAGGCTGACACAGAATCAGAGTGTTGCAGTTGGGTATGTGCATGTGGGACTGGTCACCAGCCCTAACCCAAGAAGCCAGTCATTGCCGGGAGCTTAGATGGACATCAGTGAGACAAACTCATGTGGCCACACTCCAGGGAAGCAGGGCATCATCAAGGGAAGATCTTGGCTAGTAAGCTTTTTTTTAAAAAAATTAACCATTCTTGCTCATCATTGATGCTGTTAATTGACTTTCTGACTCTCCTTCAGGTTGGACGGTGCAGTCTGGCTGGTCTGCTTCACTTTCTGTTTATAATTGTTTTCTATTTCTGAATCTATTTCTGTTGCTTTTGTGCTCCTTTCCCTGCAAAAGACTGACTCCATCCCACTGCATATGGCTTGAATAGCCACATTTCTATACCCGTTTGGGTTTATCTGCACACCCGAGCCTTAGTTTGGGGCCTAAGCTACATCTGTCTGTGCTCTCTCTCCTCTTTTCGCCTGCGGGCTAAAGTGTAACCCTCCAACTCACTCTGAAGAAGGCATAGCATGTCGCTGCCACTGCCCCAAGAGTAGGACAGGAACCAGATTGTAACTCTGAGTCTGGTCTCTGCGTCTCCAGTGTCCCAGGAGGGAAGTATTTGCAAGCTGCAAATTACTTGCTTCCCCCTTTATTGCTGGGTTCAATTAAGGGTTGGTTAATTGTGGGGTATGGGGTGTAAACAAGGCTTTACCCACTCCTTACCTACCTGCACGGAAGAATGGCTGCTATTCCCTCCCTCCCGGCTCAGGCATAAGATCTGAGGGGGTTTCTTATGCCTCCTTTCTCCCCCATGTGCAGCAGGACTCAGGATTAGGCCCCTTCTGTTATCCAGGTTCCAAGACACACTAGAATCTTAGTGCCTGCTTGACAATGTCGTTTAACAATCAGTGTTCTGTCTAGCCCCAGCCACGCCTAAATCCACATGTCTTTCTCCACAGCTGAAAGAACAAAGGGAGAAAGAGAGGCGACAAAAGAAAGCACAAGCTGGAAGCGTCTCCGAGGAGAGTGGAGAGTTTGATGACCTGGTGTCAGCCCTGAGGTCGGGTGAGGTCTTTGACAAAGATTTATCCAAGCTCAAGCGCAGCCGCAAGCGTTCAGGGAACCAAGGCTTGGAGACAAGTCGGGAGAGGGCAGTGACCAAACTAAATTATTAACAACAAAAGGAAGGAGGGGATGTAAAGAGCAAGAACCAACACAAAGAAGATGACGACAAAGGAAAAACCAAGAAAGAGGAATATGTGTGACAGCAATTGGCTGATGGTTGCCCGCAAGGGCTCACCAGCCCTTGGCCAGAGATCAGTTTTCCTCCCTTCCTTCTCCTTCCCCGTGCACCTAATGCGGAATGGCTGGAAAAGTGCCTCTGGGGAACCACCAGGGTTTGTGACTGGGCCATTCAGATTATTGGCCAATTTACTTCTGGGAGTCTTGCCTCCAAGCTCATCAAAGGCCCATTGATGACAACAGGAAGTACTTGGGCCTTGTGGACCACGGGGCAGCTGGGGGAAGGTCGTTCACTATGTGCCAAAGTACAAATAAGTAGTGTTCTCTGCCTGTTGAGAATAAGCAAGACCATTACTATTTTAGACTGGCTCTGAACACACATGACACTTCGTCGAGACCTGGAGCAGCCTTCGGGAGTTTGCATGGAGTAGTTTTAAGAGAACTGGATTTAGAAAGAGTCATTGACTAGAACCTGAAAAATGCTTTTGATCTCACATACTGTGTATTTTTATTTGTGTTTTTGTGGCCTGTAGTATCCAAAGCAAGTGGCACTCAGAAGGGTAGGAATGGGGTTTGGACTAAGATGGAGTCCTGGCTCAAAAGCCCATAATTGGAATTGATAAAAGAAAAGCATTTACAAAACTTTGATTTTTTTTCTAAAGCCTTTCTCTGGAACCTGTTGAAGCTTTAAGGGATATTCTAGAACCCAAGAAGATGGGAGAAGGCAAAATACATGTTGTAGAATAGGTGTTCTAATTTGGAGTCTAGAAAAAGAACCCACAGCTGATTGGAGCCAGACCTAGATGATCCTACAGCCTACTGTAATTGTCCAAGGGTGGGCAGGGAATAGCACCTACTGGCTATAATTTCATATTGCTTTTGCATCATTTTGTTAGCATCACCAAATGGAAAGTGGGAACTGTCTGGGATCATCATGTCTTAAATAGAAACTGTCAAATGGGGCCACTGGCAGTGGAAATAGGATATTTTCTTTCCGCTTGGTGCCAGCTATGACTTCATTGGGACGAACTGGAGCTTGCATCTAACAAGTTGGCCTTCTCAGCAAACCCCTGAGGGAACCATTAAACATCATAATATATGAACATGTCAAAGGACAGCTATGGCACCACAGGACTTTTGCACGTGGAAGGAGCTGCTCACAATGAAGGGACCATAAAAAAATCCAGGAATTAATTAGGAAACCGATGTGAAGGGATCAGGAGAGCTTTGAAAATTACAGTTAATAGGAATTTTTTATTAAAAACTAAAAATGCAAAGCACACAACCAAAACCAAACAAATCAACCAGAAAAACAGTTTTATTGCTATTTCTGTTCAACTTCATGACTCTAGCAATGAGACTAGCTTATGCAGATTGTCACATTTCCTTTTGTCTTCCTTAAATGAGATTTTTGGATATCTTCCCACAGACAGAAAAAGGATGAGAAAGAAAGGAGCATTCTGGATGTGATACTTGATGAGAGAAAAAGACCCATCCTCTACAAAATAGCATAAAAAACCAATAGCAGGAAATTGCGCAGAAATCTGGAGAAAATCAGAAACAGCTCAGTTTGCCACTTTAATTGCTTGGCTTTATTTTTCTTCAAATGTCATTTAACTTCAGGCTCAACATTCAGTCTGCACAACAAAACTCAATGCCCCAGGCACAATGCCTGATCAGTGTTATATTCAGAAAACATCGGGAAATCACACTGTGGAGATTTTCTGAACTCTTGGAAAGTTAAATAATTATGTAAACTATGGAGATAAGAAAAAAGTTGAAAGCTGTAATGCTTTACTGTGTTTTAAGTCTTCCAGCCTAGAATTTCCCTGTTGATGACATTCTAGACCACCGCACCTCTGCAGAATACTCGTGGTAAAGAGTTGGTATCTTACAAGAGCTGCGTGCATTCTCCTTCAGTATTATTCACTATCCCCTCAGGGATTAGCAGTTGACAGAAATGTCCGTTGTGGCAGATGTTGGCACCTTTTTAGGAGAGAGATTGTATTTTCATACAGGATTTTTCAAGTTTAAAAACCTCACAATTTTAAGCAATTTTTGTAAAACTCCAAAATAAGATTAAAAAAAAGTTTTGTAAATTATATTAATAAGCTCCTCACTGCCCCCATACTAGATCTGTGCTATATTCCAACATTATTTTTTAAAACATGCTGTGTAACCCACCTTGTGTGAGCCATATGAGATCATAATATGTGCCAAATAGGTATACAACTGAGTTCAGTTTTTGATAGTCTCCAAATTCCAGGCCTGAGATTTTTAAGAATGATAAATATTGGTCCTTTTTAACCTATTTCATCTTTCCTGGGTTTAGTGTTCACCTACTAATTCAGTTTTAGTACCAAGGTCAGATTTCATCCTTGATGTAAGCAGATGTGATTGACTCCCTAGTTTCACTGGAGTTGTACCCTCTTGGTCCCCCCATCTAAGACTTACCCATTTCATTAAAAAAATTCAACAGAGGTTGAGACATAAAAGAAAACTCAGCTTGGGTGAAGAGCCTGGAATTTGAGAGAGCATCTTCCCACCAGCAGGCTTGTGTTAGGCTTTCTGACATTTGTGTCACCTTGCAGTACCATGAATGTAGAAAAGGCAGAGAGAGGCAGGCTATGTTACAAAGTCCAGCCCAAGATTTGCAGAGAGCTCCGTGTGATAGTCAAGTCAAAAGGAGTTGATGAAATCTTACAGCTCCCAGACTGGTGCCCATAGCACATCAGGTCATGCTGGGCAGCTGTAAGCCATGCTGAGAGTGAAAGGCCTAAAGGAACCCCTATTCACCTCCTAGATCTACTCCAGCTTAATTTTCTCAGCATCAGGAGTTTGAGTCTCTGATGCTGGTTCAAGGCTGCTTTCTCCATCCTAGGGCAACTTCAGCCCATTCCTCTTCTCTGACCATCTGCCCAATGGTAAAATGTTCTTGGGACGAGGAATCTCTTGGCAAGGGCTTGGACCCACTTGCTTTGAGTCATGAAGGTTGGCAACAGGGAGAAAGGCCCATTCACTTGTTTTTGTGAAGTGGCCGGCCACATGGGAAAGGAGGAGCAGCTGCTTTCATGCTGGGACCACATTCCACTTTGATTTTAGACCCACAGGTGCTGTGACTTCGTGTAGTTCCCTTGTGCCATTCAAACACACTTCTCTGGGGAGCTGCTAACTGGCTAAGGAAAAGGAAGGTTGTGAGACCATATGAACCTGCAGGAGCTCCCTTCCGCTGTTTTGGCTGCAGTGGTTGTTTCCCTGGCTAAGTCCTAGGAGTCAGCATTTCCCAAGATTTGAAATAAATGTCCATCTCACGCGAACAAGGGAATAGTGATAGAAATGTAGCCGTGTTAGTCTGGGGTAGTTGAAGCAAAATGCAGGACAATGTAGCACTTTAAAGACTAACAAGATGGTTTATTAGATGATGAGCTTTCGTGGGCCAGACCCACTTCCTCAGATCAAATAGTGGAAGAAAGTAGTCACAACCATATATACCAAAGGATACAATTAAAAAAATGAACAAATATGAAAAGGACAAATCACATTGCAGAACAGAAGGAGGATGCGGGGGGGTGGGAAGGGGGAGGAACTGAGTGTTGAGCTTGAAAGGGAAGACAGAGAACTGTTCAATGAAGGGGCTCCCTCTGCTGGGCTTTCTCCCAATTTCCCATCTTCTCTCATCCCATGGATCTGATCCCTGAGCTGAGACTTGTCCTGCAATGTCATAATGGCGCCACTGCTTTTCCATCACCCCTGTGCTCTTCTGCACCTTGGCTCAATCCAACCCTGCAGCATCCTAGGAGCTGTCTCATCTCCACCTGCTCTGGTCCTAGCTCAGCCCAGCCAGTCCACACTTGCCATTGCGAGCATGAGTGCAGATGAACCACGCTACAACTGTGGAAGAGTTTCCCTGAAACACTCAGGGTTGGTGCAGCCTCAGTGTTTCCCTTGGGGGAACCCAGTGGCATGTTCACCGTAAGGGGATAAGCTGCAATCACAGGGAGTCCTGCACATGTATGGACCTGCCCTTGATCTCACAGCTCCAGGACTTGCTGTTAGAGCAGGGGTGGGCAGTGATTTTTTAAGTGGGGCCACTTCACAAATTTCTGAAGTGGCTGCAAGCCACCCCAGAAGGGGCAAGGCCTCAGGCAGAAGGGGCAGGGGCAGGAGGCTTCCTGTGCTCCCCTGCCCATAGACCCTGATTGGCCTGGGGATGGGGGAGTGGTAGGGTGGCTGTGAGCTGGATCCAGCCCATGGAGGTGGTCTTGCCCACCTCTGGGGTAAGGGATTTGGGAGCAGGAGGGCCTGTGAGGTCATTTGGGTGTGACCTGGAGCATGGTATTGGGGTGCAGGGGTTTGGTTGTGACCTAATGCAGGAAGGGATTGGGATCTGGGGCAGGGGATTGGGGTGCATGGGATATGGGCACAGGAGGGGGGCAGAGGGTTTGGCATGTGTGAGAGGGGGACAGGAGTACGGGGGGCAGAGGGCTGGGGTCCAGGGTGCCAGAGGCAGGCTATGGCAAGGAGACTTATCTGTGAGACTCCGGGCCAGCAGCCCAGCACGTTTCTCAGGCAGGAGCCTGCCCTGCCCCCCCACAGGCAGCAGTGGCCGTGTGATTGGTGACTAAGAGCCTGAGGAGGAGGGGGTGCTTCACATGCTACAGGCAGCTCCCATAGGCCAGAAACCAGCCAATGGGATTGTGCTGGGGGGCGGGAGCAGCCATGAAGCACCCCTTCCGCCCCCCCCAGCACAATCCCACTTTTCCGAGTGGTGTGCAGGAGCAGGGCAAGCAGGGGAGACTGCCTGAGGCTCCCTGCTATGTCTGTGGGCCAGATCCGGTGGCTTGGCAGGCTGGATCCGGCCTGCAGAGGGTGTTTGGCCCAGGACTGTGCTAGAGCCTAAATCCTCTCTCGCATTGCATTGGTTAGCCCCAGGTGCCTCTGCACACTAGTGTGTAGCTCGCCCTTTTAGTGCATTGTGGCTAGAAGGGGCATGGGGAAGAGCAGTAGCATGGACACAGACCTTCCTGTCTCCTACCATTCCATTCACTCTCCTGCAGGTGCAGCTCAGCTCAAACCCCAGTGCAGCACATTGGCAGGCAAAGGCAGCCCATGGGAGGGCTGCATCAGTAGGAGACCCAGCTCACTCATTTGGTGGCTATCATAAAGCAAGAAAACCCATCCCTGGAACACCCCCAGGAAACCTTCCCCTCTTCCAGAAAGAGAAAGGGACAGCCTCGGGCAGCTGGACTTGAATTGGTCATTTTTCTCCTACATTATGACATCATCATCATCACTTTTTTTTAAACCTCTCCTTAGCTTAACCGAGGCACCTCCTGCAGCCTTCCCAGCAGTTTTCATGGTACTTACCCCAGCAAGAATGATTCAGCCACTGTTCCAAACACCCCCTGCCAGCCACAGAGGAATGCTGACAGTGGCCTGCTAAGCACCAGCAATTCCCAGGGAAGGAAGGGAGATGGGAACCGTGGCGCAAGGACCAGAGCATGTGCAAGGAAAAGAGAAAAAAAAAGCCTATCTGGGGCAACTGCCAGCAGAACTGGGATTTGGTTAATTCTAGAGTCAGACCAGTGTAAAGGCTTCAGGCAAGGGAAAGTCCCCCCTGCCAGGGAACCAGGAAACAGTGGTTCAAGCTCTTCTGCAAGGAGGAATCTGTAAGGAGCTAGCCTAGCCCCCACTGTGGACAGGCTGATGTGTGGGCCAATTGAGCACCCTCTTCAGTTCTCCCCACCCGCACAGCCCCTCAGTTTTTAGCCTAACTCTCCTGCCTTGAGGCAAGGCCCTCCCCTGGCATCTCACTGCTACAGACCACTACGTTCTAGCTCCTGGAACCGGCCCTCCAGGCTGCCCTTCATTAGCCTAGTGCAAGCCCATGATGGTTCAGAGGTTTGCACCAGGTGGCCACTGTAAAGTGGTTAGCACAAGTTCTTCGTCACTCTCTCTCTCTCGGGTCGGGGTCACTCTTGTGAATGTCACTTTTCCAGAGCTCGGGACAGTTGACATCAAAGCAGCTCTAGAACGTTGGAGCAGAAGGGCCAGGCCATGTTCTTCAGATAACTGAAGAGCCAGGCACCAAAACCACTCT